CTGCTTCTGGGTATACTCATTAGAGGACCAAAGGTGTATTAATCCACAGCTGAAAGTAGTCCCCAACTAATGCACCATTTACTCCTGTTTGTAGTATATTTTCTGACTCCAGAGCCCAGAATAATGTGAAATGAATTAATGCTGATATAAAAAATTACACTATGTTGTATAATATCGGGGTGCCCCTATAGCTCACCTAGTTGAGTAGGCAACCCATAAACAGGGGTATAGTTCCCAGATGCAGCGGTTGTGGGTTAGACTCCCATTCATGACCCTTTGCTGCAGGTCTCTCCCCATTCTAGGGGCTGCAAAGTGGAGCGGTGGTTAGCATCATTGCCTCGCATCCCGGTGAGGACACCCGGGATCTTTCTGCGTGGAGTTTGCATGTTCTCCTCGTGCAGAGTGGGTTCTCTCCGGGTTCTCCGGCTTCCTCCCACACAGTTCAAAAACATGCTGAGGTTAATTGGTGATTCTAAATTGTCCGTAGGTGTGAATGTGAGTGTGCTTGGTTGTCTGTCTCTAAGTGTAGCCCTGTGATAGACTGGCTTCACCCTGAGTCAGCTGGGATAGACTCCAGCCCCCCTGCTAGTGAGGATTAAGCGGTGTATAGATAATGGATGGATGGATAATATTGAACAATTTTTAAAGATTTTAACCATGAGCCATAGACAGGCTGATGAAGCCGTCAAGTTCTGACATATATATTATTGATTTATGTGTTTGCATGACATTTGTTTACAAGAGGAATTTATAACATCCTCTAAAGGACATCATATCAAAGATGAATACAAAAGACACAACGACAAATCAGTACGCTTGCAAATTCAAAACTGAACAATGAACCCATTTTAAAAATTCTTTATTAATTTTTCTTATAATCAATGTTTGATACTTGAAGCAAGAATAATGAACAAAAATGCTGAGCAGACCTCCACATGAGGCTTTCATCCTGCTTTGTTTTCATCTGATTTGCTTTCTTGATTTTCATACGACCTCCAGTGTAACAGAGGTTCTGCTTTTGTCATGATGCATTATGGCAAGGTGCAAGGAACACAAACAAGGGGAAACATTTAAAACCCACCTCCCATACAAATACCCTCTTCAGCACAACCACAAAACAAAAAAAAAAGGAAAAAAAAACAAACAAAAAAACAGATATATGGTCATGTTATTTACACAGCTTTCACTCATTTTCTAGACCTTAATTACAAACATACATCTATCTTTCAACTGCACAGTTTTCCAACCTACAGAGTCCCTTTGGATCGCTATGAACTACTACTCCTCAAAACCCAGCTCTTGTGCCAACAGTGCTGCAAAAGAATCCAGAGTGGCAGTCTGATATACAAGATAGGGCAGTATAATGTCTGTCACACTCCGCAGGTTTCCTCACTATTATCCTACGACGCACAGCTCAGATTGTATCTTAAAGCCAATGACGACTCGCGCGGCTGTCGACAGATTCTTGGTTTGACATCATTTTAAAGATGCTACCCGTACCGAGGTGGAAAATGTCAAAATGTCAGGGGCACAAAGCTTGGAATAAACCCCCGACAAGTAACGCTGCCTGGTGGATTGTGGGATGGGCTGGCAGGACTTCATGCCATCCGGCTTGGTGACGCGCGGTACTTCAGGAACGGGATTCTTCTTCTTTCTATTAAGCATAGCACCTCAGAGTGGTTTTAAATCCAGGCACCTCTCAACTCTTTCTACACAAAACTACTCACAGAACAGTCTCCCTACAAACACTTCCAGGGTCACCTCTATGGCACTTTCAGGTCTTTACAGTGGTAACAATTGTTGAAGGCAAACAACAGACTGAACCATTACCCGTCTCAGCTTCCCACTGGGAAACACATCTAAAACATCCAAAAAATAAAAAAAAATAGAGCTTTAATCGGAGCAAAACGACTCGGATTGGACAATTCAATGGTTCCTTATGTTTAACTATACTGAATTGGGGCATCTGGGAAAAAAACAACCATTAAAGGACTGAGACGTGGAAGTGCTAAGAGGGATATAAGCACAGCTGGAACAAGAAACGGGCTAAAATTAACTGCGAAGTGAAAACCCAACAACGAAATTCTTCCAAATTAGAGGCAAGTCTTGGACCCTCTACTGTGAGTCCATTTCATAACCCACTGAATAAGAAACAAAGCAGGAACATCCATAGTGACAAGCACCCACAAGGCCAAGACATGAGGCACATATTCACACAATCTTAGGCCTTTGAGGTCTACCATGAACAGTTTCCGTAGCAATCTCCAGCTTCGTCGCCAGCTGGTTTTAAATAGTCAAGCCAATGTGTGATTATTTGGTGTCATTTCATATTATTCCTGTTTCGTTTTATACAGAAAATCCAGACGTGAGATGTTTTACAATGCGAAAGAACAGCGACAAGAAATAATCTCACTACACTTGACTACACCTGTGCGTTGACCCACGGATAGCGAACGGAGGTTGGTGACAGAACCTCTCACAAAAACAAGAGTTCTTCTACAGAAAGGATGAAAGTTGGTCTTTCCATGGGCAGCACATAAAATATCAAAAAGAACGACCAACCAGTGTAACTGAATCACTACAGTAGAGCGTTTACAGAAAGAGGAACCTGGAATTTGTTTGTTTTTTTTCTCCTCTCTCATACCAAGAAGAGCCAATGAGATTTGTGGAATGTGTTTGTCATTTTCTTCAATAAGTGCAGAGTGCATGTTAATGAAGCAAAGTAGAAAGGAATGCATGTTTAGATGGACTATTGTGTCCACAGTCAGGATGACAGGAAGCAACAGAAATGCGAAGAAAAAAAAAAGAAGAAGAAGCAAAAAGCAGGCACTAATTTGTGCAGCTTCAAGACAGACAGCGAGAATGTGTCATTTATAGTGTGTCTGAGTGCTCGGTGTAGACTGTGGCAAACTGGAATGTATTTTCTTTTAACTACAGAATTTGAAATGTCAGTCCTCCTGTAAGAACAATCCAATTTTATTGTTTTAATTTTGTAGTGAATTAATGATGAACTGATCATCCTCCTCACATAACCAGTCTACTGCACTGAGTTTCACTGTTTGCATTTTAAATATTCCCACTAAGAGAAAAAAAAAAATACTGTTAAGGAGGTGTAAACAAAATTCCAGATTTGGCAACGTTATAATTTTGGGGTACGCTAACATGAAACACTGATACCTACTTAAAAAATATAGAGATATACAATAGTAAATGGGGTCTGCTGACACTGGAATTTTCTTGGTCATTATTCTAAAATGAAAAGAATTATGTAAGACCTTTTTATACAAGTAGACAAAATAAAAAAAAAAAAAAGACTGCCACAGAATAAAAGGAATTGAGTCCTTTGTCACCAAAAAGCAAGAGTATTTTCTGCTAAATTTGCCACATGTCCTTATTCCACCTGTGTTAAACTGAGGGTCGGGGGCCAGCTAAGAAAAAGTTCATCTGGAATGTTGCTAGGGATCGTTGCTAGGCAGGACTCAGACGAAACACTGTCATTGAGATAGGCAGTGACTGTTCCCGCCCACCCCCCAGCCAATGGAACGTCCTGAATTGTAGCGGGTTCGGCAAAGGGTCCTTAAATGGCAATTTTGGACATTTGCTCTTCAAGTTTGATGATTCGCTTCTCCTGACTGCTGACCAGGTCCTTGAGGGATTTGACCTCTTTCAAGATCTCCTCCAGCTTGGCTTCAGATTTCTGTGTGAGACACAGGAGACAAGTGAGATTATGTAGGTACGCATGTCTATCAAAACACTGCTTCAGGCAGCCTGCTGTCAAACAGACAAGCAGCTTCACATTTGATCTGAATCATAGGGTACGTCTCAGTAGTGCACAATGCAACTCTTGTTTCAAAACAGCCTTGGACTGCATGCGGCGGGACCTGGTACTCTGAGGGTTAACATCTTTCGCCAGCAGTGGAGCCCAGTGGGCTGTGATTAAAGAGCAGAAGTGCAGGGAGACGCATGGGCTGGGTCCCAGGCGGGTGGCTGTGTTGTGGGTGAGGTGCGGCAGGACGCCCAGCAGCAGGCGCCCAGAGCAGCAGTAGACCCCTCAGTTTGTGGGTCAGAGTGGGATGAGCAACATCTACAAACCCCCTCATGAACACAGCCAGAAATCTGCCATGATTTCTACATACACAGTTTGTCTGTCTGACACTACAAGCCCCAAAGAGTCAGCTAGAAAGAGATGAGGCCTGCCATGAAGGGCATTAATGAGATTAGACGGGAGTCAGGATGACAAACCTCAATGTCTGATGACGTCAACTGTGGTAAGTCTATGAAATAATGCAAATTAGCATTCACTGTTTAACATTTCTAAGACTTGTTGACAGGAATAATGAACAATAGTTCTTCTAAGATAATTACTCATCTAAATCAACACTGCAAACAATCTTCTAAGATCATTTATTATTCCATGCTCCAAAGCTTCACTGAGTGGGAATTAAACGTTAAGGAAAGTTTAACATTTTTCAGACACTCAGGACAACTTGAAAAAAAGAGAAAAAAACACTCACAATCGATGGAGTTGGGGAGGCAGGCTTGTTGGCAGGGCACGAGTTCTCTGTGTTCTTGGTGACCTTGTTGTCCAAAATGTTCTTTTTGACCACCTTGAACTCACGGTTCTTGCCCGGGACATAGCCATCCTTGAGGGAGATGAGGATGGGGTCTCCATTCTTGCCCTCAAACCACTCCTCAGCCTCCACGGCAGGGTCTGGTCCAGCTGTGTTTGGGTACAGGTCGTCCTGGAACAGGTCCGACTGACCGGGAAGAACAGAGCGACAAGTTGTGAGGAAAACTCTACCACCAGCACACTCTAAGACAAGGCCTCAGTATGCTGCCTGGGACTTAACAAGCAGATTAGAGGTCTAATATGAAGGATAGAGACTCACCTTTCTAGGTACAGTCATCACAATTGGCTCGCACTTCCTTTCATGCAGTTTGTAGAACCTGGCAACATACAAATTTAAAGCAGTTAGTTACAGCTCAGTGGATCATTAAACTACAGTTTCCTGTGGATGACTACATCTTGATTCCATTCTGCCTCCTAGTGGTGAAGCCAGGAAGGAATTCCACATTAGAAAATGTTGACTACAATCGAAAGTGGGGCTGCAAGACATATTGTTTCAGCATCGACATTGCTTTGTGCACATATGCAACAATCACATCACAAGGTTCCAACAGCAGAGAGAAATCATTGCTGCGATACGTCTACGCCTCACAAAAGATGTTACCAATTAACACGGCTAGTAGAGTGGGTTTAAAAACATGATATGGTCACTTAAGTAGCGGTATGTAACACCATCACACAGCTATTTTTTATTCATTTATTTTAAATTAGCGTCCCACAGCTGTATAAAGAATGCGAGGCAGAAGTTGCACATACTTGAATATATATATAAAAATGTATATCACAGAAAAACTGAACATCACAAGATCAGTTTCTTCAAAAAAAAAAAAAAAGCGCAGAGTCCTAATCCAACCTCAACATAAACGCTGACTAACCACCATCGTAGCCTACCTGGCAATTTCGCACTTATTGACATCAAGGCCCCTCTTGGGCATGTAGCCCATGCCCCTCTGGGGCTCCTTGGTGACAAAGGTGTTAAGGAAGTGAACATATGGAGCCTCATCTGTGATTTCAAAGTAACGGATGCTGCTGTCACCCTGTCAGGAAATATAAGAAGTGTTTTATTTTTGCTATGTGAAAACTTATTGTAGACTTCCAATGTGTGCTTTTAATATATGCTCGATTTGACTACTGGATGCTTAGAGGGCACCTCACCTTCCCACAGAGGTAAACAACGTTGGTGTCTGGGTCATAGAAGGGCAAAAGCACTCCATTGCTGGTGTCCATCTCATTAACAGTCATGGGCTCCTCCATGTTTTGCTTTAAAAAAAAAAAAAGAAAGGGAGAGAGAGAGAGAGAAGAATGATAAATCAGAGTTCTGTTGGAAACTATGAATGCAGAAGCAGCAGTGTAGGAAAAGGTTGCAGCCTTCAAAAACAGGAAGATGTGCTTATTAGCCAGCATGGCTGCACTTTATAGAGCTGTGAATAATGTAGCAAATACTGTAATATTAAAGAAGTGAATATGTTGTTTGTATAGCGTGTATTGCATTTTTTCTATTTATTCTGCTGACCTACATGAAAAGCTTGAACAATCAAAAGCCTCTGGTGGAAATTAATATAGTTCACATAAAGCGAATATTACAACAGCATGAAATGTCAAACTCATGATAACTGAACGTATGTAGTGCACTCAGCACTTATGATGCAGCTTACTATGTTCCAGAGAGCCAGCTGTCTCTCACTCATGCGACTGAACCCGGTGGTGAGGACGTTACCATCAGCAAGGAAAATGGCCCTCATGGGTCGAGCGCCCTCATGTGCCTTTTCCTTCTCCTGTTAAGTACAGATCAGAGGTCAGCATGTGTGCACAGTTACTACTTATTCACTGTGTCCACTTCTGCAACATGTTAAGGTCAGAATCAGCTACACAGCAATGAACCTACATTCATGAGCACTTTATTAGACACATATAAACCTGCCTATTCATGCAATTATAAAATCAGCCAATCATTTGGCAGCAGATACAGGGCAGGAGCTTCAGTTCATGTTCACAACAAACAAACATCAGAATGGGGTAGAATGTGATCCCAGTGACTGTATTTCTGGGATTTTCAACACAATAGTCACTAGAGTTACCTCAGAATAGCACTAAAAACAAAAAGTTCAACAAAAAATTCTGCAGTGACGAAAACTGGACCGTTGAAGAGTGAAAAAAGGTGCCCTGGTTGATGAATCTTGATTTCGTTCCTGCTGAGCCAAGCTCAGAATTTGGCTTCAACAACATGAATCATGGACCCAACCTGCCTTGTGTCAACACTCCAGGCTGCTGGTGAGGGTGGTGTCATGGTGTTGGGAATGTTTTCTTGGCACTCTTTGGGCCAAGACAATAACACCCTGAATCCAATAAAACCGCCCTTGGATAGTGATAGACCAGGAGATTTAAAAGACTGAAAAAGCTGCCAAAACGATGTGATGCAATCATATCAACACAGAGCAGAAACTCAGAGGAATGTTTTGGGCATCTTGTGCAATCCAGGTCACAAAGAACGGAGGCTGTTAAATAGCAAACGGAGGCCCTACCCAGCATCAGTATGGTGTTTCTAATAGGGATGTCATGATATGAGAAATGTAATGGTTGGTACCAATACTACTGAAATTCCATAATTTTTGATACCAAAAATATCAGTCAAATGAATGTATTTCAACTGCTGCACATGCAGTGTGCTACCACACACACACACACACACACACACATTACAATTTGATATAGTGAACAGTAATGACAGCAGTGGACTAACATAAGCAGCATGCGGCTTACATTAAGGTCTGTAGAGCATTACTACAATAGATGCAAATCTATCGATCTCAAGTTTGGGATATAAACATTTTGACAACATATTGTGATATATTGTTGAAACGACCGACACTTACTCACCTTGAGTTCTGTTTACAGATCCAGATGTCTGTCTTTGAGCTGTTTAAAATGCTATGAGACAGAGTTTGCATTCTGGCTTTTGGTTGTCGATAACTTGTCCCTAATTTGCCCCTGATCATCTCACGCTTAGTGTCTCCATACATGACTTTTGTTGTAGTTTCTTTCCCTCTCAGGTCAGAGTGGACATGTTGCTGCACCTGCTGCTGCTATTCCACATGTTATTGTCCAGGGTCTCCAGCACCTACAGCATCTATGTTACCATCATGTTTTCCCAAATTCAGCCTCAACTTGGTACCAAACTTTTGGTTCTCATGACATCCCTAATTCCTAGTTGAAGCAGTTTGCCATCTTTCAACCCAGTTTCACTGTGGTTATATTAACATTACATCTTATCTCGTGCAATTGAGTATATAAAAGAAAAAATGTCACAATAAAGACTTCTTTGGAAACTGCTCACAGCAACAATCGTCTCCTTGCGGGGGTCAATGACGCGGATGGACTTGTCCTTGCAGGCGGTGCAGATAAGGCTGCCACTGCGGTTCCAGCACACGTTGTAAATCACATCAGGATGCATGTCCTCGAGGCTGATCATGGCTTCACCTGTGCCCACGTTCCAGATGATGATCTGGTTGTCACAACCTGGCGAAAGATTGAAGTAAATGTGAGCTGGACAGCAGCACAGAAAATTTAGACAAAATATTTTGTCTCTGAGGCATCGGTGGCCATGGTTTGGGGATTTGTGTGTAAATCCAATTTCAGATTTTTTTTTAAGGCTCATTCTGGGGATGGCTGGATTTCAGCAGCATTGTTTAAAACATGTAAGGACATAGCCAGGGTCCTTACCTGCACTGAGAAGGACATTGCGTGCTGTTGGATGCCATGTGATGATGCCAACGCGCTTGGAGTGGCCCTCCAATACCACCACTGGCTCAGACATGGAAGTGACGAGGCCATTCTCAGGAATCTGCCATACCTGAAATGAAATGAAAAAGTCAGGACGTAGGAACACAGGACAGACAGTGAAATGTGCCTCATGTCTGACAAATTATACTTTCTCTAAGATTTCATTAGGAACCTGTCAAATGCAACAGAACAGCTTATTTCACAACCTCATTGAAAACACCAACAAATGGCAGTAACCAGGAGGAACCTGAGGGGGGCAGCAGTGACTAAGAATTTCCAGTATGTTGTGTGGTGGAAGGGATATACAGTCAAATTTAACAAAATACAGTGAAGTTACTGGAGAAACTGGAACAATATCAGTCCTTAAGGAATCAACTGTTGACACATGCAGTGGTATTACCCACATTTCAAAAATAAAAACAGCAATTTAAATGCAGCATACATTTGTTACATCAAATATTGGTTGGCTAAAGTTACTATCAGCTAACAATTTATCTACTACTTTTCATTTTCATCTACTATTCATGCATGGTGGATGCAAGTTAAGACCTGGACTGTGGGCAGGGTGCTGTTGCTCTACTTTCTCCAGCTGCTGCACAACAAGTACTTGTTCTGGATAAAATATTTGCAGATTGTTACACATAGTCTTGCCATTGCCCTTAAGACATTTCTTTCCAGATTTTGGATGAGCAACATGTCACAACAAACTGAAGATACAGCTGTCATATGGGTAATGCCTGACTAATCAGTTTTTCAGTTAATAAGGTCAATGTTATATCTTATCTTTTCTTTCTACCTCCCATAAAGTTACTTGTTTCAAAAGGAACTGTAAATAAACTTTCGGCTAATAAATAAGCTACCTGTGTTGTCTCTGGCAACAGCTCACACTTTCATATTGTACTGATAGTTATTTTGTGCTCAGTCCACCCTTTTTGTTCTTACATTATTTAGTGTTTCCTCTGTATCGTCTATCTCCATTTATTCAGCCATCCCTCTTAGCATGCCAATACTCGCTTGTTTCAGCAAATAAGCAAAGCCTGTGCTTAATGCAACATTTCAAAAGGGCAGTCAACGACACTGCCAACATTAACAGCAGCACATTTTAACATGCCATTAGTTATGCAGATGTCCACTGTGCACTTTAGGTGATGCAGCAATTAGGAAACATTCTTTAATGTGTGATAAAGGTGGAATGCCCTGTCTACATAATGGTGTTTATTTCCATTGGCCTGCTGTATACACCAGTTATACCGCCCACTCCGAACTTATCTAAACTTAACATTACCAAGAGCCTATTTATGCTCTGAAATTCACCTTCATAGATCAAATGCTATGAAGAGCAGAACCATCAATGGTTCCTCTCTCTTCATGGCTTTTACCTCTGCAAACACGAAATAAACATAGCATTGATTCAGTGTGATTTTAACAGGAAGTCAGGACTTCCAGGTGAGAAAGTGCAGCCACATAAACGGGCTGAAACCTAATCTCGGCCTTTCGCAGCCCAAATAAGGACATGTGGTGGAAAGTACAACTACAGACTCAAAAAAGTCAGTGACCTCAGCTCAATAAACAGCTAAATCATTCCCCAGCTCTGATTCCTACAACACATATTTGAGCCTAATCTAATCCAGAGGGTGAGGCCTGCAACCATCACCAAGTTACAACAGTCTGGCCTTTCGCAATAAGAGCATGTAGTCTCTTGTCAGTTATTAGCTTAAGAATGTGTGCTGCCGTTTTTCTTCTATTAAGAGGCCTGAGTTCAGGTTAAATGGGTATATCAAACCTTACCATCACCGTGCAGTCCTCAGAGCCACTGGCAATGACCTGGTCATTGTGGGGGCACCAGTCGATGTCTAGCACCGGGCCTGTGTGACCACACACTGTGGGGTAGGATTTGTCAATGCGTCCCGTCTGTAAAGAGAAAGATAAACAGCACAGAGTAATAAGATTAGTCTTAGTCTGGTCCTCAGAGAACATTGTCCATGCTGGAGGAGTGAGCATGTTTTGAAACGGGACAATAACAGTGTAATCCTAAATCCCACCTGCAAAAAAACAAGCACACACACAAATAAAGACACACAAACAACATACAATGAAAAGGGCTTAAATTGACTCATCCTACTTAAAACCAAATACATAAATAAAATGAGTGATGTGATTTCAGTGATGCAGTCTGGGAGGAACTGCTACATTTTGAACATTACCCAAGCCCACAATGGATGCAGAAACTTAAGAGCTGTGTCAAAATCAACAGCGCATCCATCAGCATAAATTCTCCACAATTCATTTTTTAAATTGCTGACTGGGAGGTCACTTGCTACTAAAGTCTCTGTGTGTGTGTGAGGGGAAACACAGTCCCATGAAACTCCCAGCCACGGCTAGTCTGCAGAGCTAAAACTGAACTGAAAATATTGAGTCTTCCTACATGACTCATTAATGAATTATGAACATGGAAAGGATCAAATTTAACAGCCTAAACCCAAAGAATCATCAGCCTTGGTTTGTCATCGCATCACTCTGCCAAAAAAAAAGAGGATTGGGTTTTATTGGTGCTACACAGAAGCAAACCAGGATTAGATTGAGCCTCTACTAGACCGCCTGTAGTAATTAAGTAAACTTACTAGTTGTGATGTCACTATACAGTAGAAGTATGCCAAAAGATGCTTAAGAAACTCCTTACTTTAAAATGGTAACCCTAAATCACGCACTAAACTGAGCCCTTTACATAATCTACTTATACAACTCATAGACTAGAAGGCTACAAATGAATTTCTGACGCACGCACACACATACACAGAAACGACCTTCAGTTATACTGTGCATCCTAAAAAAATCAACCTGCACCTGGATTTTACTGCTGAACCCTCTGAGCCAGGAGCATCAGGTAGTCTCTACATGCTGAGGTGACTTAGCAAATGTCATGCTATAATGGTTTGGGTGTCTGACACACCCTAGACTGTGTTGATTCCAAGTACCACCGCAGGGCCAGAGAGATGATGTCACCTACTGTGGAAAGAGTCCGGCTGCTGCAGCCCTATTTAAAGCATGATGGCTTCCCTAATGCAAGAAAGAGTCACTCACTGCCCACAGCTATTCTGCCATTACACTAGGAATAGCAACAAGAATGGCTTGAGAAGAGCTACTAAATCTAAGAACTGTATATTCAGTAATGAGTAAGAGGTACAATCAAAAGTAGACCTAAACCTCATGACAGCATAACTCGAGGCATTTGTTAAAGATATTCAAACAAAAGATGTAAGCTTTAGTACTCTTGCATGAGATGCTAAATAGTCACACAGTATTTTTACTGGATTTACGATGACAGAGCACTCAAAACAAATTTGGCATTCACAAAAGTGCAACAATATTTTCAAAAAAAAAGATGGCGCCGCGCACAGACGCAGCGGCTCGGAGCTCCTCTCGTTGACAGTGTGTTACTCGAATTTCATTGTGTTTTCTTGTACAATGACAATAAAGAGATCCTGATTCTGATATTTGGTAGACTGTGTGTAGGCTGGAATTTAACATTTTTTTAGTCACCCCAAATGCACTGTTACCTAAGGGCAATGTTAAAACACTATTTCTATTTCTCTAGTGGCCTCTGAGACACTCTGTGAATGTGAATTGTGTCTTCTCCTACTCCACCTGGGGTGGATGTCAACAAGCAAACCACACTACAGTTTCATTTGTAGTACATTGATGAAGTGAACTAGCAAGCTTAGTATGTGGCTACAAGAGCGAGGACCACTAGTGTGAGTCAAGTGACAGTCTTGAAGTTCAGACAGACCAAGTGCAGTCCAGCTTGTACATTATGGCTTTTGTGGCCAAATGATTTAATGTAGTTGAAGTTGTGAAAAGGACAGAGCTACCAGAGAGAGAAATGCCAAAAGCAGAAGTAGTCTAAATACATATGGTCTGTTGTGTGACTTGTTGTACGCAGAACAACATACTATGTAAATTAAAAAGAAAAAAGCAAATAAACAAATTTCTCAAGCAGATCCTGTTCACATCAACTGCTTCATTTCAGCCTCAACTAAACCGATTGTTGTTGAACACATTTCTGACCAGTGACTTCTTAAATAATTAAAGTCGTAATAAAATAATAAGCGGCTGGTGGTCTGGCCCTCAGAGGGACAGTCTAGTCCAGGATATGAGTGGTTGAATACTGCTTAGACATTCCTGCTTTCAGACATTTCCTTGCTTCCGCTTAGCAGAAGGTACTTCAAGCCTGCTGCTATTACAGTCACTAAGTGATATGATTCATATCTCAGATGTCTGAACTGATGTGTAAGCTTACTGGGTCAGTGCAGTTCTGCAGCGGTTGTACACACAAATATGCAAACATACATATCACTTTAAATGACTCTGTGCTTTATGGAAATAGTAGGCCTGTAGCCATGCAGTCACCTGACCGACACAGAGTTGGGTGTGACACATACTCCAAGTCCAAGCTCAGTGATCAAAGTTCAGTGTATGTGAGAACAAACCGTGTATGTGGACAGGTAGTACGTGAAAATCACAAGATCTCATCTAAACCTCACCGTGATGCCTGAACACACCCTGAAAACTACCATAAAGCAGACTGTACAGAAAGCAGACCTTGACACTGCTGTCAATAGGGATCAGTGAGCCACGTCTACTATCAGATAACGCTACCATTATGAGACTAGTGACGTCTCATATGTAGCTGAGTCGACTTCACATTCTTTCATTTAGTAAATTACACATAATTGGCATTACCAGTCAGACATGATATCTGTGCATATTACTTTCAACACATACAAATGTATAATACAGCTTAAGTATTCCTGCACATGATTTCCCGAAGGCAGCAGGAACAGGATGTAAAGCAGGAAGGACATGGACTGATGACCAGGTGTTGCAACACAAACAGCATAAACAAGTCTGACAACAACACACGATTTCCCCAACATGCGCATTGTGGATTACGTTCAGTCAAGTTTGACATTTTGCACCCCCGCAAAAAAAACAAGAATCACTTTAAATATTAACACTGTCCAACCAAAGCTGCCGTGTAAAACAGTTAATACCATTTCAACATCGAGTGGAGCTGTACACAAGCACAAACTGTCTGTGTGCTTCAATGCAACTTTATCCCGAAGGGTGTTTGTTACAGTATGCAAAAAAAACACTTGATGAAACACTGGCGTTTAAAGAGACACACACAGCAGTGCTTACAACAGATCTTAACACCACCTATAAGAGCAATCAGTGTTCAGACATCAATACTTAGCCCAGTTTGGACGTGCTGCAAAGATTTATACATGACTTCTTAAATTAGTCAGTGTCCACAGTTTCCACAATTTTCTGTCAACCCTTTTCAATCATGAGCACAGATTTCAAAGAGAATTCTATACTTTATGAATTAATTGCAGCTGCTAAGATTGACTTGTAGAAATGAGGCGAGAAGTCCCAGAAACACTTTAGCTAAGCTCTGGAGCTCAACCTACCGATCATCCCAAGCAGGGCAGAAAAGGCCGACAGTTCGACAAGAGAGTCGGCGTTCTTCACATTCCACACCTCGGCCCCAGGCAGCTCTGGTATGGGTATGACTAATGAGAGCAAGAGGGCCGCGAGGGTGTCAAATACAGCACCCTTTGAGGTGTTAATGGTGTATGTGTCTGATATACACAATTAGGAATTTCAGGGTCTGAAGAGCAAACACAAGTGGATCTTTGATTCAAACCTACATCAAGACATGATAACATGATAACGTGATGCACAAGCAGGGCAGTAACTCTCAAAGTATGATTGAGGAGCAGTGGTGAGAGTTCAATGTACTGACCTAACAAATACGTAAACATTTACATTTTTAAAAATGGAAAAGTGGCTTGAAATGGAAAAGTAAGCTGGAAAATAGAATGACCTACAAATCAGCACTCACTGTTTGAATGTTTGTGTGATTTGTGTGTGACAGATGTTCAAATTCTGAAAGATACCAGAGTTACAACGAGTTTCCAGTGTTCCCATTGAAAACTAGTGGCTGTGGTACGAAGACTTTTTGGCCAAAAGCCCCTTTCAGACATACACTCCCTTCCATTATTCTGACAGCATCCGAACATGTTGGCTTCATGTCCGAATGATCACCCCAGTCACTTTTCTAGAAGACTTGCAAAAGTAACTTACAAGGTCGGACCTGGTGAAACTTCTGCATCACTTCCAACAGGACACAAGTCTGAACTGCATGCTGTCACAATAATGGATAGGCATGCATAGGCAAGGTACTCTGAGTCGTATGAAGCAATTCACGGCAGTCTTTTTCCACATTTCAGGAAACATATTCACTTTAAGACATCACAGGGAGCAAAAGACACAGTTTGCTGCTAAAAATCACAATACACCTTCTCATTTTATTTGCTCTAGAATTTCACATTAATTGGCTACAAACTAAAATGTCCATAAAAACAAAACTTTTCTGTGCATACAGAGACAGCTGAGACTAATGACACTCACAAATAATGAATGTAATCTAAGTTTTAGTTGTAGTTCAATTTGTTTCTTTAAGCTGTTTGTAGGAGTATTTGCATTTATTAAATACCTGCAGCCACAAACAGCAGCAGGATTCATAAAAGCATCTCTAAAGCAAGAGAAATGTGTGCATTTAATTAACTACTTATAATTATGAATTACCCCTGACATGGAGACAGTGAGGATCTAACAGTCAGTCACGCTTCTGACATGTGAGCTGTCACACACACAGTCAGTTCATATGCTGCAGTAAAATCAGTTGTTACGTAGCAGAAGCCTCACGTTCGGTCCTGAGCTCCATCGCAGCTGTCGGCAAATGTTTATTTTACTGTTTGTAAAGTAGCAGATTATCATCGTACATGCACAGAATTTTCAGTGACTGGGGAAACCGTAGATAAACTAAGCTATTGTGAAGGCTTGCA